GGTGAAACCCTGTCTCTACTAAAAATACAAAAAATTAGCCAGGCATGGTGGTGGGTGCCGCCTGTAATCCCAGCTACTTGGGAGGCTGAGGCCAGAGAATCGCTTGAACCCGGGAGGTGGAGGTTGCAGTGAACCAAGATGGCTCCATTGCACTCTAGTCTGGGCGACACGAGCAAAACTGCATTTCAAATAAATAAATAAATAAATAAAACTAAAGCCCCTTCTTCAAGTAGTACAGGGTAGAAGCAAGACTAATAGCTGGAGAGTCAAGAAAACCAATTGTATTCTTGCTCCTACCCGTAATGAGCTGTGTGTCCTTTGGATGGTGCCTTAATGTCTCAGAGTTTCCCTGTCTACATAAATCAGAATGATGATATCTGCCATTTTTTTGAGCATCCTTGATGTGAAAGGGACTTTTTATGTGTTATTTATCTACACAAATACCCAATGAGGTAGGGTCGTTTGTCCCCATTTTAGAGATAAAGACATTAAGGCTTTGCTAGGAGAATTGACTTGCTCAAAAATATGCATGTGTAAGTAGCAGGAACAGCTCTTTTGTATTCCAAACTCCCATCCTGTCCCTGCAATTAAGAAAAGTGGGGCAAGGGTGGTGGCTCAAGCCTGTAATCTCAGCATTTTAGGAGGCTGAGGTAGGAGGATTGCTTGAGCCAGGAGTTCAAGACTAGCCTGGGCAGCAAAGCAAGACCCTGTTTCTTCTTTGCTTTTCTCTCCCTCCCCTCCCTCTCTCCCTCCTTCCCTCCCTCCCTTTCTTTCTTTTTCTGGAGTGCAATGGTGTGATCTTGGCTCACTACAACCTCTGCTTCCCAGGTTCAAATGATTCTCCTACCTCAACCTCCCAAGTAGCTGGGATTGTAGGCATGTATCACCATGCCCGGCTAATTTTTGTATTTTTAGTAGAGACAGGGTTTCACCATGTTGGTCAGGCTGGTCTTGAACTCCTAACCTCAGGTGATCCACCCACCTCGGCCTACCGAAGTGTTGGGATTACAGGCATGAGCCACATGTCCAGTCAGCAAGACCCTGTTTCTATAAAACATAAAAAATTAAGACGGGTGTGGTGATATTCACCTGTAGTCTCACCTACTTGGGAGGCTGAGGCAGGAGGATCACTTGAACCCATGGGAAAAAAAGAAGAAAAAGAAAACCAAAAACTATTTTTATTTCTCAGGGACAAAGTTTCTGACTTCAATAAGCTCAAGGTCTGGAGTCAAAGCCTCTACCTCTCCCAGATATCCCCTCTCACTGTATTTATTTATCACCTTGGTTAAAATCCAGGGAAGGGAACAATCAGGAACTTGTTCCACTCGGGGTAGAACTTGGCAGGAACTCCCAGAGTTGCTGTTACTACCTTTTCCATTCCAAGGCAATCCATAAATGTCTAAATTTCCATGGTACATCTTGGAGGCTGCATGAGGGAGAAAGAGCCAGCGACCCTTACGTCTACAGACAAAAATTAGTTTTTTGGTTTTATTTGAGATGGAGTCTTGCTCTCTCACCCAGGCTTAAGGGCAGTGGCACAATCTCGGCACACTGCAACCTCCGCCTCCTGGGTTCAAGCAATCCTCCCACCTCAGCCTCCTGGGTAACTGGAATTACAGGTGTGCGCCAAAATGTCAGGAGAGGGTCTCACCATTCAGGAAGTAAATATCTATTTAATCCTTTTGTTTTCTCTGTAGCGTCCACAACCTCAACTGTGCTCGGAATTCCTCAGGCCGGCAGGGTCTGATTGCTGGCCTGAGGGGTGTAGGATTTCAGACTCACCGTAGGTGGACAGCCCTAGCCTTCCTCCTTTCAAAGGTTAAGTCCTTACTTCTGTTGGTACAGAGTGGCAGCTGGGCTTGGACTCTTCAGGAAGGATACTAGAGGGTTTTCTTCTGGAGAAACTGACCCAGGGATAAGAGCTACAGATACTGGCCGGGCATGGTGGCTCACGTCTGAAATCCCAGGACTTTGGGAGGCTGAGGCAGGTGGATCACCTGAGGTCAGGAGTTTGAGACCAGCCTGGACAATATGGTGAAACCCTGTCTCCACTAAAAAATACAAAAATTACCTGGGTGTGGTGGTGCGCGTCTGTAATCCCAGTTACACGGGAGGCTGAGGCCGGAGAATTGCTTGAAGCAGGGAGGTGGAGGTTGCAGTGGGCTGATATCATGCCACTGAACTCCAGCCTGGGTGGCAGAGGAAAGAAAAAAAAGCTACAGATACTGACAATTGGGAGTCCTATTCCCACCAGATCATCTAAGGGGAGCACATAATGGAGAAAGTCTGCCCATGCCCAGACCTGAGGTCGGCTCCTGACAGCCCCACATTGTAACTGAATACCCCTATTTTCTAAGAGAAATAGAATGAGTTATTATTTTATTTTATTATTATTTCTTTCTTCTTTTCTCTTTCTCCCCCTGTTCCCCTGTTTCCTACTTAGCTCTTTAGGAATGCAATTGTAACTTCTTTCTTTTCCTTCATCAGACACTCCCAATAGGGCAAGCTTATCTAACTGTGCGCTGAGAAGCTTCAGAATGGAACTCACTCCCACCAGGAGACCACCTCGAGGACAACAGTCCATTTACAACCCAAAGGGTGCCCGCCTTGAAACTCTCTTCCATCTGGGGAGTTTTGGCCACCTTTACAACCTAGTTCTGCCCATGCAAGTGCCAACTAGACAACCTGGTTAAGACACCAAAGTGAGTTTTGTGGACCCCCCACCTGCTTGCTCCCTCACCTGCATGCCATTCGTGCCAAGTCCCCTTTTAATAGTCCCTGCTTTCTGCCCCAGAATTGAAGGGACACCCTTGAGGCAGGAAGCCTGTACTTCTTCCCCTAAGCTAGCTTTGGAAGAAAAAGTCACTTTATACCACATCTTGTTCTTGTTAATCAGACTCTGCAAACGGCGAGTGACTGAACCCTGTGATTCAGTTACAACACAGACATGTGAATGGACAGAGAAGATGTGTAAGGAAAGCTCCTTTTTCTTTTTTTTTGAGACAGCGTCTTCTTCCATTGCCCAGGCTGGAGTTCAGTGGAGTGATCATGGCTCACTGTAGCCTCAAACTCCTGGGCTCAACCAATCCCCCCATCTCAGCCTCCTGACTAGCTGGGACTACAGGCATGTGCCACCATGCCCAGATAATTTTTGTATATAATTTTTGGTGGCGATGAGGTTTTACCATGTTGCCCAGGCTGGTCTTGAACTCCTGGGCTCAAGCCATCCTCCTGCCTTGGTCTCCCAAAGTGTTAGGAATACAGGCGTGAGCCAGCACGCCTGGCCAGTGCTAACATCTTTAATGAGGACTGTTACTGCTTTTTCTTGAAGTTTTGATTGCAAATATATATATATATATATATAGTTTTGGGTAGTTTTCCCAACTCTATTAGCTTTGGGCTTGTTTTGAGTACCAGGCAGGGGCTTTCAAACAGAAAAATAAGGAACATGGGTTTAATAATTGGTCATAGGAAAAAAAGACCTATCTGGTCCCCTCTCCACAAAGACAAACCCAAAGACACAAAAGAAAGAAAGGGCCAGGTGTGGTGGCTCACATCTGTAATCCCAGCACTTTGGGAGACCGAGGCTTGAGCCCAGGAGGTAGAGGCTGCAGTCAGCCAAGATCATGCCACCGCACTCCAGCCTGGGCAACAGAGCCAGATCCTGTCTCAAAAGAACAAAAAAGTGATTTACAAAGTATATTTATTTAAAAATATATATATTATCATGCTTGCTTTCACTCAGACAAAAATGCTACAAGATGTTTTATGGGTATAAGAGAGATTATGATGTCCCAAATTTTGTGAGGATTGAATAGGTTACTATCAGTTCCACATACATCTTTATCACTTTCTGGAATTTACTGCTTTTCTTCCTCTTCCCACATTGCTTACTGTACAGAGAAGGAGGCTCCATAATGGGAAGTGATACATCACATTTTTAATGCTTATTCATAGTAAAAACAATGACAAACCTCCCATGTATTACTACTGCCTGCCACACACACTGTGGTGGATGCTTTATACAAATTAACCTCATCTGTTCCTCCCTATTACAAGATACTATTGCTATTCCCCTAGAAATCAGGGATTTGAAAGTCAGAAAGGTTAAATAAATTGGTTAGTAAGTGGCAGTCAGTTCTCCTGCTATACTATTTCTAGAAAACAAATCCAGAGATTTTAACTTTTATTTTTTAAGGGGCTTGGCTATTTTTAGCAGAAGGGATCTGTGGTCACACATTCTTTAATCACCACTCCACGACAATGAATAAACAGTTACCAGGATGGGGCTGGGCACGGTGGCTCACACCTGTAATTCCAGCACTTTGGGAGGCTGAGGTCAGGAGGTTGAGACCAGCTTGGCCAACATGACGAAACCCTGTCCCTAATAAAAATACAAATATTATTAGCTGGGTGAGGTGGTGGGTGCCTGTAATTCCAGCTACTCGGTAGGCTGAGGCAGGTGAATTGCTTGAATCCGGGAGGTGAAGGTTGCCGTGAGTCGTGATCGCGCCACTGCACTCTAACCTGGGCAATAGAGCCAGACTGCCCCCCCTCCCAAAAAAAAAAAAAAAAAAAAAACAAAAAACCCACAAACAACCATTTATCAGGATGGTGTCGAAATATTTACCACTTTCTCTGCACTTCTCACTTTTCGAACTTTGTGCTTTTGTCTGAACTCCATCTGGAATGTTCTTGGATGGTGGAGCATGTCGTCCACGTGTCCAATTCCTACACCTCCTTCGAATACAAGCCACTTTGTGGAAGTCTTCCCTGATCCCTGCCCACAAGCTTTTCACCTGCATGTCTCTCTTAAGCTATCCCAGAGTAAACCGAGAACCCAGTCAGTACCGGCACCCTTGCTGGAGTGTCCCATGCTGGGAAAGGCAAAACTCTTGTCTGAATCTTCATTTGCCGTCTACTAGGAGTAAGTGCCCGTTGGAGAATGATAAAAAGTGCAAGTCAAGGGATGCAGAGTGCGTTTTCCAGTACAACAACCCGGACTTTCTACCAGGCCATTTTCAAAAGGAGCTGCCACGGACAGCAGCATGGATTTTGGTGGGAGCCGGGTCGGCCGGAAATCGGCAGCCTGCAGGTTCCAAGGGTGCCACAAAAGAGGGGTCGAACTATGGACCGCCCCCAGCCCCCGCCCTTTTAGTCTTCCCAGCTGGCTCGGGGAACAAAGGGGGACCGGAGAGAGACTGGCGCTGCGTGCCTGGGGACAGACGCCTCTCGCTGGGAGTGCCGAGGAACTCCTCACCCAGCCGCGTGCGGGAAGAAACAGCACTGACAACCGCAAGCCGCTGTCGCCACTGCCCACAAAGGCCGGAAGTGCAGCCGGCGTCCGCGGCCAAAAGAGCCCTCTCTAGGACTTCGGAGGCCCGGCATCTCGGTGGTTCCCTAGACTAGGAGACAACCCCCGCTCCCCGCCCCCCGACTCCCAAGGTCTTGTACCCTGCGACAGGGGCCTCAAAATGAGTCAAAAGGGAGAAGAGCTTGGGGGCGGTGACTGTAATCCCAGTCCTTTGGGAGGCTGAGGTGGGAGGATCACTTGAGGCCAGGAGTTGGAGACCAGCCTGGGCAACATACCGAGAGCCGGCCTCTACCAAGAATTAATAAAATGAGCCGGCTGTGGTGGGGCACACTGGTAGTCCCAGTTACTTGGGAGGCTTAAATGGAAGGATCACTTGAGCCCTGGAGTCAGTGGCTGCAGTGAGGTGTGCTTGCACCATTGCATTCCAGCCTGAGCAACACAGTGAGACCCTGTCTCAAAAAGGAAAAAAAAAAGGAAGGGAATGGAAGGAAGGGAAGGAAAGAGGTAAGGGAATGGGAAGGTAGGAAGGAAGGAGGGAGGGAGGGAGAAAGGGAGAGAAAAAAGGAAGGAATGAAGGAAGGAAAGAAGGGAGGGAGGGAGGGAAGGAGAGAAGGAAGGAAAGGAAAAGGAAGGGAATAGAAAGGAGGGAAGGAAGGAGGTAAGGAAATGGGAAGGAAGGAAGGAAGAAAGGAAGAAAAATCGAATTCAGCAGCACGTGTGTGGAAGAGGAAATCCATTTACAATGCACCCGGGCCTGAGTTTCAGCTGAGGGGCTGGAGCATGGCTGATTATCATGCTGGCTTCCCCCAGAGACCAAGGAAACAGGCCTGGAGCAAGTTCTTGCTTGCTCAGGGTCTCACAGTGACCTGGGTCAGAAGCCAGGGCTTGTGCGACCATGGATCATGCCCTTCCACTGCCTTGACTGCCTCTCATCAGAAATGAACACTGATAACATTCATTATGCTTTCAAAATGGTAGGACACTCGTGACCGATCAAAGCAGACAAAAGAGAGTGTGCAAGACTTCCAAGAAGACACCTCACTCATCAGCAGGGCTACAGTTTGAGGATCCCTTATCTGAAATGCTTGGGACCGGAAATGTTTCAGATTTCAGTTTTTTTTTTTTTTTTTTTTTTTTTGCGAACGGGGTTTCCCTTATTTTTCCCAGGCTGGAGTGCAATGGCGCGGTCTCGGCTCACCGCAGCCTCCACCTCCTGGGTTCAGGCAATTCTCCTGCCTCAGCCTCCTGAGTAGCTGGGATTACAGGCACGCGCCACCATGCCCAGCTAATTTTTTGTATTTTTAGTAGAGACAGGGTTTCACCATGTTGACCAGGATGGTCTCGATCTCTTGACCTCGTGATCCACCTGCCTCGGCCTCCCAAAGTGCTGGGATTACAGGCTTGAGCCACCGCGCCCGGCCTGGTCTTTTTTTTTTGACTTTGAAATATTTGCTCTACTGGTTGAGCAGCCCTAATCCCAAAATCCTGTCTGAAATGCTTCAATGAGTATTTTCTCTGAACACCATGGTGGCTCACAAGTTCTGGTTTTGTAATTTATGGAGGTCAGGTATTTGGATTAGGGATACTCTTCCTGTACTATATAAAAACAAAAACTAAAAACAAGATAGTAGTGTTTGGTGAGGATGTGGACAAATTGGAATCTTTGTGCATTGCCGGTGGGAATATAACATGGTGCAGCCCCTGTGGAAAACAGTATAGTGCCTCTTCAATAAAATTAAACATAGAATTGGCCGGGTGCTGTGGCTCCCACCTGTAATCCCAGCACTTTGGGAGGCGTAGGCAGGCGGATCTTTTGAGGTCAGGAGTTTGAGAACAGCCTTAACAACATGGCAAAACCCTGTCTCTACTAAAAATACAAAAAAATCAGCTGGGCATGGTGCCTCACGCCTGTAATCCCAGCTACTCCGGAGGCTGAGGAGGGAGAATTGCTTGAGTCTGTGAGGGGGAGGTTGCAGTGAGCCAAGATGTGGTCATTGCACTCTACCCTGGGTGACAGAGCTAGTCTCTGTCTTAAAAAAAAAAAAATCATATATATATATATATATATATATATATATATATGAAGGCTAAAGAGAGAAATTGGATCAGCTGAAGAGTTTACAGATTTGCAGAGGATAGAGGCAAGGAAGCTTTGTGACCTACTTTTAGGTTGTGAAACTTGGTCTTGATTCAACTCCCAAATGGTCTTCATATACAAAGCATCTTTGCAGAGGAAGCTCTTTGGAGAAAGAAAATTGGCGAGATAGAAAGCACAGCCAAGAGATGACAAGAGAGACTTCTCTAGAGAATTTCGTGGATGAAGAGGAAAAACAAATCCACAAGTTCATGGGGATAATCAGTTATTTGAATTCAGAAAGAGTGATTAACATGGAGGCTGGGTGTGGTGGCTCACGGCTATAATGCTAGCACTTTGGGAGGTCAAGGTGGGCAGATCACCTGAGGTCACCAGCCTGGCCAACACGGTGAAACCCTGTCTCTATGCAAAAATTAGTCAGATGTGGTGGCAGGTGCCTGTAATTCCACATACTTAGGAGGCTGAGGCAGGAGAATCACTTGAACCTGGGAGGCAGTGGTTGCAGTAAGCCAATTTTGCAGCCTGGGTGACAGAGCAAGACTCTGCCTCAAAAAAAAAAAAAAAAGTGGATTAAT